ACACACACACACACACACACACACACACACACACACACACACACACACACACACACACACACACACACACACACACACACACACCTACATACGTTTACACATACACACATACTACCGCGCTAGTGTACATACATAACATATTTATACGGATGTGTGTACTCTGCTCAGACTTATCGTGCGGGTACGTGATCTACTCGCATCCGCGGATCGTCGGTCATATGAATGAGCGCAAATGGGGAAGATAAATATTCATGCGGACCGCGGCGGTGAGAATATATAGACACGGGATTGTTCGTACGACTACGGTGTGACGACGGGACGACGGGAGAGTTTCTCGGAGGGATTCGATGCCGAACGAAATACAAAAAAAAAAAAAATGGAATAAAACAATATGAAATATATCATCAGTGTTCGGCGTATTATACACAATAATGTCGATACGCGCGTTATACGTAATATTATACTGTTCGCTGCAGTGTCGCCTCGCCGGCCATCGGTATTTTAATGATAATATTGTTACCGTCTACGCCGCACACGTCACAATATTATTATTCCGAATCGCATATTATATCCGCGTCGGACTGAAAACGTTTTTATTTATAACACGTACCAGTTTAATAATCGTACGCCGTGTAGGTGGTTGTATGCGTTTTCAAAGTCATAAATGTCGTACCGAAACTTTTTCGAGTTTGTACTACTCGACGATGTAGTTGTGAGCGTAACGCGTCCGCGAGACGGATAATTCTTCTCATACTCACGTCGTCATCAACGCTGTACGAACCGTACGAGTTTTGAAACAAAATTTACAGTTACAGCAAATAATTTGTAAAAAAAAAAAACGTTTAATAATATTATTCGTCAATATTCACGTCGGTATAAATAATATTAATTTGTTTTAATCATATAAACACGTATTGTCATGTATAACGCGTATATTTTTTTATACCAACAATATTTTGGTTACATAATATTATTACGCGTAAAAACAATACTATCTTTTGATTCGAATATAATAATATTGTAAGATAAGTCTAAGCGATTTAATATCAAGAGTTAAAAGACGGTTTACGGTACTCAAAAAAAAATGTATTATTATATAATATATTATATACCACATTTTAAAAATCTCTCTACCCTCCACTTGATATTTCTTGTGCCCTGAAAATTATATTTATATACTATTTTATTAAAAAGTAAAATATTTAAGCTCCCGGTGATGATGCATGATAAATCCAGTCTCAAATCCACATCATATTAGCTAGATTTGAATATTTTTTTTTTCGAATGCATGGACAATTCTATAGCGAATAGTATGTTTGTTACGACTGGCAACTCGGTCTTCTAACTAGTTCTCATAATGAATATTGAATTAACCAAA